GCTATTACATGACTTATTTTAACTTAAAAAAGAAAAATATTTATTATAAATGCAAATTAATTTAAATTTTAAGTCATTAAAACAGATTTCAAATTTCCCCTTTACAATTGCTCTGACAAGCAAGGCCAGATTTACTTATACCTGAGCTGAAAACAGCTGTAGTTTAGGTTCTCAAATGATTAGTACATATTGTATATTGTAATTTTTCTGTTCAGTTTTATGCTATGAAGTTATCAATCAAAAGATGTACCAGTATATGTTTGGCGATAATCCTTTCTTTTTTCCAATTTAAAGAAGGGCCATCCTAGTTTAAATATGACACAAGTTTACCTTTTGTATTGTCCTAGGCCTTAATTAACAAACAATGGATTTTAAACAATAATCAGATTTCCAAATTTAGTTTTGAAATAAGTTATTTGTTGTTGGTTTTTACAAACATATAATAGCTTTTAATTACCGTATTTATTGGCATATAACATGCAATTTTTCTCCCTGACAATAGGGGGCAAATCATGTGTGCGTGTTATACACCGATATAATGTTTAGTTTTTTTCCTGAAATTTCCTTCTTAAATTGAGGTGCGTGTTATACGCGGTGGCGTGTTTTACGTATTTATCATTTTAAAGTGAAAATTTAAAAATCAAAGAATTAAACAAATTATTTAATAAAACCTCTAGTCTTTCAGCAGTTGATGGATAGTGGCTTCATCATAACGAAATTTATGTTTGTTTAAATGTAAATATGACCAAGGGCAGGTAGAGGGTCTATATGGGCCCATACTCCCAGGACATGTTGACCATTTATGCGGAATATTTTAACAGGCCTTGGTTTGGGTATAATGCCAAAGTATTTCTAAATAAACTTATTTAATTTATTTGTTGTAATTTTAATATTGCAAATAACAATAATCTATAAAATAATGGGGAAAAAAAAGAAAACCAAATAGTGAGAAATGACAAAATAATATAGGATTTATCATAGGTTTTTGAGGATATCTCCATTTATCTTGCTATGATTTGCCAGGAAATCAATTATTTTTTTTATCTCATTTGACATTTTATAAATTTCAGTTTTGAGAAATTTTGTTCGCATTTGGAAGTCAATAAATATTTAGAAGTTAATAATACTGAATATCCATCTGAATGTAAATTATATTATTTCAGTATGATAGAGCAGTAAAGGCACTATTCTTACAAGTACTAATGAGTTATTAAGTATGTTTTGTCAGCAAAATTCTGAATCCATCATATCCCCATTATTTTTATAATCATCAGCTTCCTAATTTATTACTTTTAGACTAATTTTAGTATCTTCTTTAAGACCTTTATTCAAGTTGCTTTTGCTTCAGCATTGAATACTAAATTTTGTTGCCGAGAAATGCAAACGTTTCATGCAAGACTCCATTAAGTTAAGTACATCAACATTACTCACATCAACGCATGCCATACTTGCAGCTATCTTGCTATTTCTCGTAAATAATTTGATAACTATTCAACACTGTCTTATAGATATAAACCTGATCAATAACATAAGCAAAAAATTGTACAATTGGCTCCAACAATGGTTCATCATCTCCTCTTTCTCCACTAAGCACAATTTTTTTTCTAATAATACCAGGCACTTGCTCTGTCAATGTCATAATTCTCTTGTCGTTATATTATTTTGTGCTGCTTTATTTACAACATGGACTTTTTGTGAAATGTTTTTCTGTTATTAAATTTGTCAAAAAATCAAGTACTTTGGTTTGAAATTATTTTGAAAAAAGACTTGGTTGTTGAATAATTCCCCAAAAATTTCTCTGTTAAAATAGTTTTGTAACATACCAAGAATGCTTAAAATTGTTTATTTCGAAAAGTACTTCCACGTTTGAATACAGAATTTTTGATGATGCTATAACTCTAACTAAAAATAATTCACCATTTGGAACATAGAAATTTCAAATTTTTTTAATCAATTCAATCAAGTCATTGTTGGCTCACCCTTCTGTCTGCAGCAATTCTTAGCAAAAGGAGAGTAACTTTGACTTTAATTTAAATTTGTAAGAGAGGAAAACAAATTGATTTTGGAAAAAAAAAAGGGGGGGGGGGGGGTATTCCATAAGTGTACTGTTTTAGCTATGCCTGAGAAAGGGGACCCTATAAAAATCAGTCAGATAATTTATAAATAATGAAGTTAAAATTTGAAATTTGGCCCTTTAAAATCAACTTAAAAATGCCATGGATATAGATTTTTTTAAATTGTCGAGCTTTCTGGAAAAGTCTAGACCAGCCCAGGAGGATTGGATATTATTCATTTTAAATCCACCGATATTTCAATACAAACAATGAAGTGTATTTCTACCAAGCTATGCCTATATCCATCAATTCATATAGCACCTATAGTATAGTCTAAGCCTATGTGATATAACTTAAATAAGGAAAAATGAAATGAGGCCCCCGGCCCCAGAGGAATGAATATTGTGAGTTCAGTAACGTTCGGTATTTTTATATGGATAATAAAGTGTACTAACTTTGGTCAAGATCCAACTATTCATGTTGGAGTATTTGTTGGTCATTTTATTTATATAGTTATATCAGAAAAAAAAAAAGAATTCTGGGCCCCTTGCCCAAACGGAATGTTATAAAAAGTTCACTTTCATATACATATATTATTATATGATTACAATATAATTTATATGGTTTGGGGGGGGGGGGGTGGTGATGTTTAAAATGGAATGGGATGCAGCGCTGTCAAAAGGTTAAGAATCCCTGCTCTAGGGCATTTACTAAGATCCCCCTCCCCCAACCCTTTTTTTTTCGTACCATCCCATTTCACTTGGTAGTCCTAATTCTATCAGTCTCCACATTTTGACATAAATTCTCTCGGCTGTCAATGTCACTACACCCATTTTTTCCTCTTCATTGTGGGCCTGTAACTTGATCAGTGGCCATTTTCCGGACTGCGCATTAATTGTACTGATTTTCTCAGTGATCATAGTTGAAAAATGAAATTATTTTGGTAATCTACCACTTGAGCGTCTGCCAAGAAAAAAATCCAGTTGTTCCAGCAGAAAGAGCTATTAAAAAAAGTATTCTTATATTAGTGTCTGTTAATGGTTTCGCTCACGTATAAAGTTATTTAGCACAATACATTTAAATAAGTATAACTACCGGTACTAAGCTACCAGTATGGCAGGAAGAAAAAGAGGAGAGACTACAATAGTGCCGATGCACAAAGTGTTTGATACTGATCAGATGCTAAAAGAAGAAGTATGGCAGTTGTCCACACTACTGCTGAATTTTTCAGACCCTAATTCAGCATTATGTTGGAGCATTAACGAAATTGTGTTGATTGAGATGACTCTGATGTCCACATGAATTCATGTTCCACAACCGTTTTCGAGGAAATGATATTATTTTTAAAAACTTCATTGTCACCTAGAGGGACCAATATGCATAATTCAGTTTTCACACATTAAATTGTTTAAATGCTTCTATTTTAAAAAAAATTGTTTTAGTTTTTCTATTTTTAAAAATTGACTTGTGCTTTTTGTATTAATACTATTATATATATGTGCTGGAATGAATACGTACAATCAATTTCATAAAAATAATATAAGAATAATTGTTTAAATAGCCCTTCCAATTCCAACCGGATTTTTTCTTGGCTGACGCTCAAGTGGTAGATTACCATAATTTTAATTGTCGTATAAAAGAATTAAGTTAAAAAATGTTGTAATTTAGGGTTATTTAAGTGCAATCCTTTACTTAACTTAAATTTACTATAATATTCCGCTTTTAATATGTGACGTCACATTACTTAAGCGCCCCCCCCCCCACCCTTTTTTTGGCACAAAAATGTGACCCCCTCCTAGACATCATTTATAGATGGCCCCTTAGTTGGGATAATATTTAAGTTTAACTAGTTTAATTCAGTGTATTGACTAATGCTACACAATATTATATCAATCTTTAACTTTAATTTTTGGTACTGATACTGGTAGGGTAAAAATGTAGCTCTGCCACTATCATGACTATGAATATGAATACTATGATTATGATTGTCAAAATGAGTGTTTCATGTTCTCACTCTCAAAAGACTATATACTCTATTATTGCTTATTCAATTCATTGAGTGAACAAGAAATGCGTCTTCTGATATAGTAAAGAGTTAAGTATTCTTAGTAGTAAATGCCAAAGGGCGTCGATACCTGTCGGTGTGACAATCGTAAAAAAGGAAAAAGTGTAAAGTAGTGAAAAGTGCAATGATTGTTTGAAGAAGATAATTTTTGTTTTCCCTTCTCGAAGAAAACTGAAATAATTTTTTTTTTCTTTAGTAAATGTATATTATTTTTTAAAAAACTCACTCAAAGAATTTTTATACAAATAACTTTTCTCAAATAATGAAAACATAGGCGCAAGTTTTGTTGTTATTGTTATCTGCTTGTCATTCTATTAACACTATGTGACTGTAGCCAGATTTTGTAAGAAGAGTAACGAGAGTCAAATAATAATTTGCCATCTAAGACACACAGATATATTTATTACCTTTGCATTGTTCGATTAACTAAGAAACTTCTTAATAGTAATATTTAAATTAGGCTAATGTGTATGTTTTATATATTTTATAATTTTAATATTATGAACATCAAAAATTATTTTATATCCAAAGTATTTTGCTATTATATATTCATAAGCTAAGGAATAAAAGTTACAAAATTAATCTGCAAATATATTTGGTCCATACCAATAACATTTTAAAACCTTTTATTTTTATATTTTAAATGCAAGATCCACAGGCCTAATAATTATGCAAATTTGTTAAAATATCCTTAAATTTTTAAAAATCAAATTTAGCATTTTTGACTCATGATATGTATTACTGTTTGATTTGTAGTTTAATTAAGCACAAGTACAAATTGTTTCTAAAGTAAATGAAGGTATGCAAGTTTGTTTATTCGCGCGAATTATTATAAATAAAATATTTATCCAATCCATAAAAATGTATATTTTACGTCATGGCAACAGGTATGGACGCTAAGGCTTAAAAACACTTTGTGCGCAAATTATAGAACTTTTACTTTTAGGGCACACATGATGTACACATTTTCTATAAGTCTCTGATCGAGGGGTGTTGTAATTGTCATTTAGAATATTGAATATAATTTCACATTTATGTAAGACTTAGGTCTCAAGCATCAAAAATTCAAAAAAGGTAGGCCTTTTACTATTATTGAATTGTATTTATTTAAATTTAAACAACAAAGTAACTTTGGTTGGTACTTTAAATTTAAATAAATACAATTCCTTATGTTTGATCTTATGCTATTTAAATTACTTGATAAGAAGCACAAATAAATAGGGAGTAACAACAATTATGAATCAGACTCAGAAGACGAGGAGCTTATTAAAGCACAATTTCAATTAGTTAGCATAAGAATAAGGCATAAGACAGAACATAAGGATAAATTCAGCATTCATTTTCATTAAAATAATTTTTTTATAAGTCTTATAACTTATAGTTATAGGGCTTCCTATACACTAGTGACTATACAGATCTTATCTATACTAGCAGAATCAGATGTCCCTGGAGAAATGCTAGGAATATAACATCAACATACACCAACTATATGTTGACTACTAAACAGCATATGATTATGAAATCATATACAGGAAATAACTATATGCTGCACTACAGTAACAGTAAACAACTTACATTGCTTATACTTATACATATAACGATGCTAACTCCAAAAGTATAATCAAAGTGGCGGGAGAGTACTCTTAGGGAGTTCCTGATTAAATAGGGCCTTGGAAAAGGAGACTCACACTATACTGCTTAACATCACATTAGAAAAAGTTATGAGAAACATATATGTGAGCATGAGTGGAACTATTACAAACTCCTTCCAGAGAAAAATTATAGAACCGCAACCAAAAGGAAACTTTATAAAGCCAACCATTGCAGTACCTGGCATATGAGGAAGACATAACTCTACTGGATAGAAACAGCAATGATATAATACAAGCATTAAAGGAACTTGAAGATGCCTCTGTTATAGCTGGTCTTGAGGTAAATGAAACGAAGACAAACTATATGGTAATGTGAAAAAACACATATACATAAAAATAAGCAACAACACCTTTGAGAGAGTGGCTAGTTTCAAATATTTAGGAGCTACTTTAAATGGCACAATGAAATAATGGCAGAGATGAAAGAAAGGATATCAGGAGGCAACCAATATTCCCCTTAAGCTGCGCGGCTGAGTGGCCGCGCAGCTAACTCACAGATGCTGCACAGCAGTTTTGAGTATCCGCGCAGCAAATTTTCATGTAAGTTTGTGTTTGTGGGCTGTAAAATTTTGCACACAAAAAAATTGATTCTGTAAAACTTTGCACACAACTGTATGATTTTGCACACGAACCAGCAAACCTTAGAGGGAATATTGGAGGCAATCATTCTTATTTCAGCCTACAAAAGCTACTAGGTAGCAATAACCTCTCAAGGAGAACAAAGTAAGCTGTACACACCACTATAATTAGAACAGTTGAAATTTATGCAAGTGAGACTTGGTCCCTCACCAGAAAGGCAGAGGACTTGCTCAATACAGTCCAGTGCAAGACAATGATGGATGGAGAATTCGTACAAACCAAAAGATATATCAGTTGTTTGAAGACCCACCCATGGTCACAACAAGTAAAAAGGCAGACTGTGCTGGACAGGACACCTTGAAAGGATGCCGAATAGTGGGGAGGGGGGAGATTTTGATCATGGAGGTGGAAAGCCATGGATCCATCCAAATGGAAGGATGTGGTGAAACAGGCCAGGGACCTACAAGGGCTGTAGCACCACTTATGCTGATTAGGGTTTCAAATGATTACTGTGATTATGAAATTAAAGTTTTAACTATGTTTCCATTTCCAAGGTCTCAAATCCATTTCTATGAAATAAAACAAAATTATTATTAACTATTAAGTTTTAAATGTTTCCCAATTTTGATAATTACAAAATGAGATCTCAAAATAAAATTATTAATATTATTAATAATTCTTACCTTATGCATAAAGAGTAATATATAGACCTATCCAGGCAATTATCGACTCATCAAGCATATAAATAAAGCAAATACAACCTGTAGTCCTTTTTAATGATATATTTAGCTTTGAATCCCACTTGCATTTTTCTTAATTTGAGGTAGTTATCAGTAACACCTGCCCTCATTAGATTTTTAATGTTCACTAGTCAACGTCAAAGCGTTACCTTTTTTTGGACTTGATGATGGTCATTACAGAGAATTCAACTTCACTGATATAGGGTGCTTCCAAAATAATGGTCAAAATATAACCTGTCTATCCATTCGACTCCTTAGCTTTTGTGACCTCCCCATTTTCTATATTACAACTTCTTCTGTGCTCTCTCTCTCACATCATGATATCCAAACAATATTGCTTTGAATCAGTAAATGTGGTTTGAAAATATTTTCAACCTAAAATGTTTTATTTTTTTACACACATCATAAAAATGGTGGGCCATTTAAAATCAGCTCACGGGCCGCACCAGCCCGTTGGCCCCTGGTTGAATAGCACTGGCCTCAAGGGTGCTTAAAGCTTAAGAAGGACAAACTTCTCAATTTACTATATGTTTTGTATCATCCTCAAACTTTTTATTTCTATAATTATGCATTGATTTATATCTGTATCCTTGATTTTAGTATTATTTGTGATTATTTATAATTTAAATAATTTGAGCCAAAGTCTATATTATTAAAACCATCCATGTTATATACTAAGTTATTAACTGTTAAATTTTTGTGTAGCAATGGAATATACAGAAAAATCAAAGAAGAAAAAGGTACCTATAGAAATTAGTGCATTGAGACGAGATTTACACAAATACTACACCCTCTATAACAAACAGAAGGTGAGACAATCATTTATTAGATTCCAGTTTTAGGATTGCTTATCTTTGTATACATTTGAATGTAAGTGTAAGAACAGTTTGGGAAACAGGAAAAAACATGTTATTTCATCAAAGAACAAATACAACATTACTATGCTTTGACAGGTTTTTATCAATCAGTTTTCGCACAAGATCTTAAAAAAGGTTTAAACAAGTTTAGTATTAAAATTTTGCTCATAAAAGCTGTATTTATGTAAAGGATGTCTCTCTGTCTTTCAAAATGTTACTATCATTTATAATATTTTAGATCCCGTTTCAGATGAACCAAAAAAAGTTATATTAATAACACCACACAATTTAATTTAGATCTAAAAATTATTAAAATCTTTAATTTCTTGTAATAATTAATTTATGTAGTTTCTCTCATCACAGTCAAAGGATACAATTAAAATAAAAACAATTTTGGAGTTTGGGGCAAGCAATATATATTTTCTCTCTTTAAAACTTAAAATTTTTTGAGGCAACTGCATAGATCTATTAGTCCAAGCAAATGTTTTCTTAGCTTTGCAAACTTAAAAAAAAAAATCACAAATTTGATTGGCCTGACATTCATAAACAAGGTTAGTTTTAAAAATGCATTCATATTCATTTATTGCATAAAGTAGGGTTGGTCTACTTTTCTGGCCTTATTTCTTGCAACTAAAAAAAAAACTAATTATGGCTATTCTGTGAAAGGTGACAGAAATGCACCTGTGACTTTTGAAGTAACTTTTTATTTGCAGAAGAGTGGTCTTTTCAAGGTTTAACTTTTAAAATGTATCTTATGAAGTTTATGGTATTTGATATTGGAGCTTGTTAACCCATGAAAATGCTTAAGTATCTTTCTTTAAATTTTACAACAGGAGTTTTCTGAAGAGAAACTCCAAGCCTTATCTCAGCTTGAAGAGAAGTATGGAGAGTTAGAAAAACAATTTCAATCTAAGGAGAAAGAACTAGAAAGGCTGCATAGTGAGAAGGAGAAACAAACAAGGGTGATTGAGGTAATTTTAAGATTTATTCTGTTAAAGAAGGACAAATAACTTTCTTTTTAAAGGCATTAATGGTGAAAAGATTGAACAAAATATTAATGTTTATCAAATCTAGGGAAGATTGTGAAGCTTAGTAAGCTTACATTTTGTTAAAAGGGATAAACTGATTAGGAATCCTTTAAATATGTAATCTAGAAGTAAAAGTACAAAAAACGTGTTTACGTTTTCCTTTACTGCTTTGGATTGATAGAGAAAATATGGGGCATCTGACTTATGCTCAGTTTGCTCAATGGAATTTTGCAAATTGAAACATCAAAATTAATTTAAATGAACTATTGTTCTAACAACAATCTTAAGTTTCTTGCATTGAATCATTATTTATGCAATGGCTGATTCTCATTACTCAGTTGAAAGACAAAGAATTGGAAAAAAAAACCTGGGAGTTGGAGACACTTGTTGCAAATTATCAAGAACTCTCAAAGATTCTTCACCTTTTAGATAAACACATGCAGTTTTTAGAGAGTGAGAAGTTAGTGGATATACAACATACCAGCTATAAATTAAACAGTTGTAAGTGTATTCTTAGTTTTAAGTTTTGTTTCCGTTCATGTTAATTTTTGTGTGCATTTGGTTCATAATTACTTACATATTAAAATCAGTATAATTATTAATTTATAGCAAAACTTTCTTGAAATACTGATTATATGTCAAAGGTAAGTGGACCATATCAATGATTAATGTCCAAATTTAGATGAACTATGTCTTCAGCATCATCTGTAAAGTTTATAATATGTAAACAATTGAATGAGGAAAAGAAAGTTTTCTATGTAAAAACTTGAAGGATTTCATATAATCTGGTAAATTCTTCCACCTCCTCCAAAACAAACATTAAATAAATAAATTTTTTCTTGGCTATTTTTAAGGACATAATTAATTAGAATAGTATTTGAATATTGTATTTAATTTGATAAAGTTTCATCACACTTGCAGTACAATGCTTTATAAAAAAATGGATTGTATTTCAATTATTATATTTTCAATTTTATGTGCCAGGAAACAGGGTTGTATGTGGAAACCTTGTGATATAGTTTTAAGAAAACTTTTATCATTTTTGACCATATAAAATTCTGGCATTGTATGCCATGAAACAGAGTTTACAACACTGCAAGGAGTATGGTATAACACCTATGTGAGCCTGCCCAAAGACATTGCTTGGGCCATGATGTAATTACTTTCTGGTATGTCAGGATGGTCCTTTTTATAGGGATTGCTCAAATGGGTTAATGAATCAAAGGTAGAAAGCCTTTATTAAACCCATCACATGCGTTGGATTATTCTCTGGCCACATTTGGACATTACTGTCTGTAATTAATTACATTTTGAGTACTTTAAATGGCCTATAAAAAATTTGTATCTGAAGTTAGTAAATATTAAATTTTAGAATTTTAATCATCTTCTTCTGTCAGCTTTTACCAGGGAGGTGTCACCAAAGCTTAGAGTAACAATCTTATTTTATAAGGTAGATTACAATGATATAAAAGTGAGAAATTTACCCCCCAAAAGACACCATAACATTGACAAGGCCTTGCAGAGACAGAAAAACTTGAATTTATCAATTTGATGAATTTATCATTAAGTTTTCTCCTGTTATGTACAAGCATTTTTAAACAGATAACACAGGCAAATATTTTTAACCCGTTTTTATCATAAAGCTTTGTGTGAAAAATCTCTGTGGTTTCAGAAAATTTTAATGCATTGTTTCAGCCAATTTGAATTCTGAACATCTTTCTGAACTGATAATCAAAGATGCCATTGACATTGTGCAGCCAAAAGATCGCAGTAATAAAGTAAGTCAGGCATTTTCTTTGTAAAAATTTTCTTTGTTGCTGGTCTTAATTATACTTCTCTAAGTCTTAATTACACATCTCTAATTCGTTTCTTAAACAGATTTGAAAGATGGAATGGAATGCAATTATTGGTGTAGTCAGTTGTTTTTTTTTTATGTACTCTAATCTAGATGCTTAAATGAAGAAGAAAAGTATAACAAAGAAAATACAAGACAAAGCCTTATTTAAGTTAAAAATCAATTTATTTAGTCGGTAACACTTTTTGTGTATATTTGACATGGACGAAAAATCTAAAATTTGAAAGTATAATTAAGTATCTGAGAGGTCAGCACATAACTAAACAAATTAATCTCTTAACACTAATAGCATTCTATTACAATGTTTATTCATTTCAGTGATAGGTTTTCATATTAACGCCACATTTTTGAAAGTCATTAGCTGAATTTTTTCTTTACTTACTAGAACAATTGCAAGATAAAAACAAGTATTAGGTTTTCTGACACTGAAGTGGATTCTCTATCACTTGATACAACCATACGTACTGCCGAGGAGATTCTCGCTAACCGTGAGGTCAACCACAGTCAAGGAATGCTGATTTCCTTGCAGACCGAAAAAGAAAGGCTTTCCAGGCTATTAAATCATCCAGAATTCCAAAAGGGCGCAGAGAAAAAAGTTAAGATTGTTTAAATTTTGAAAATAAATTAATTATAAATTGTAACTTGACAATGATTTGAATATGACGTAACTCAAAACATATACTACACTATTTGGATCATTACTAATTTTAACTTGACAATGGTTTGAATCTGACATAACCTAAAATATATACTACCACTATTGGAATCATTACTAATTGTAACTTGACAATGGTTTGAATCTGACATAAACTGACTAAAATAGAACCAAAAAAAAAAAAAAAAAACAAAGCAAAAATTGTCTCTGAGCATCGCTGAATTGTTGAGTCTGTTAACGATTACAATAGCTTATTACTTTGTATGTCTATTTAAGTATGACAAGGGTTTGAATCTGAAAAAAACTGACAAAAAAAGAACCAAAAAAAAAAAAAAAAACAAAGCAAAAATTGTCTCTGAGCATCGCTGAATTGTTGAGTCTGTTAACGATTACAATAGCTTATTACTTTGTATGTCTATTTAAGTAGGGGCACTGCAATAAATGCAGAAATCATATTTTTTTTTTAATGTTTTAGTTTTTTCAACCATAGAATTTTTATTGTATTTATATATTGTTAAATTTAATTTTTATGAAAACAGAAAGATTTATTTTAGTTATATTTACTATCCCCCTAATTCCCTCCTCATATTAGACAGACGGGAGTTCTCAGGTTCTTAATGTTGACAACAACAATGCAAACAGGACAGCTGCAGGAAACATGAAAAGCTCAACATCATTAAAGTTATCAGAGGAAAAGTCGACAGCCAAAGGTTAGACAACCAGCTCTACTTTTCTAAACTTCAATCATAACTAGCTTACTACCACTATAAGTTAAATAATTCATTTTTTTTATCAATATCCTAAAGCTAAACAAAACAAAATAAAGTTACTTGCATTGCAAGTTAATGCTTTGAATTAAATAAAAGTAAAAGTCATTTAGATTTAATTTATTCATATTTTAAATAATTTAATTTTGAATTGAACATGCTCATTGATAAGATGAGTGTAAAATTATTCAGTTTTAAAACCAAAACTGGTTTAAGATGAAAGTATTAAGACTTTCTGTAATAAGAATACTGACTTATGATTTAGTTTCATTGTTAATAGAAATCTAGAAACTTAAATCTGAAGACAGACATTTCCATTCTAAAATGTAAATTTTAAAATTTTAAACAAGCTGGCCACTTTGCTAGGTAATTGAAAAGAAATTATGTTGTAAAATCTTTTAAAAATAACAAATAAAACTAGGGTCGGCCTCAGCAACTGTTGTTGAGAATCTGAGAGAAAAACTTCAGATCTGTCAGATGTACTTGAAGAAAGAGAAGGAGCTGAATAAAGCCACTAAAAATGAAATGATCAAGTTGATAGATAAGCTGCAGGAAGATCTAAAGTCATCTCAGTTGAACCTCGAGATTGTGAAATCCCAAGAGAAGAGCACCAAGGCCAAGATAAAAGAACTGGAGAAAGAGAGGCGAGAACTGCAGAAGGATTTAAAAGCAAGTGTCATGAAAATAGAGTCGAGCGCACAGGCCATCAAAACAGTAGGTTGCTATGAAATTAAAAATGTGCAAAACTATGGGGGTAATGTAAAATTTAAAATACAAAAGAATCTCTGTTTTTTAAAGCATAGCCTATAGTAAAGAATCAGTGTTGTAAGAAGGGTAGTGCAGAGGTTGGGGGGGGGGGGGGAAGCCCGCCTGTAGGGGGGTTTTTTTTTTTTTTTTGGGGGACATCTTTTTTGCACAAATTTTTTTTTTTTAAAAATAAAAAAAAAAAAAAATAACATTTTTTTAAAACAAAAACAAAAAAAAAAAAAAAATGTTTTAAGAAGGGGAGTGGAGAGGGTGGGGGGGGGGGGGGAAGTCCGCCTGTAGTGGGACTTTTTTTTTTATCTTGAGGGACATCATTTTTGACCAAAATTTTTATTCTTGGAAACGGAATGGAAAAAAAAGCTTGGCTTACATGTAAGTTTTATAAAATGTCATAGAAGTCAATTTAAATCCCTTTGGGTGATAGTAATGAGGTTATTCTTTTTGCATGCCATTTTTTTAATCGACTTATCATCTTTTTTAAAATTAAAATAATTTGCAACTGTCTCTTCTTCCAAGTTAACCAAGTTGTATGTAAATAAAGGATTATCAAATATAAAAAAACTAAACTGAAACAAAGAATTAAGAAACTTATCATCATGTGGTGTTTTTATTAGCTAGGCCTGCAGTGTGACAGGGACAGTGAACAAATCAAATTACTTACAGAGAAGAATAAACTTCTTGAAGAGATGAGCAGAATCGGAAATCGTGTGTATCAGGACAATATAAGGGACATTATGGAAAGTACCCGAAGGGACATCACCAAGGTGAAAGTTTCTAAAGCAGCACAAACAGGGTAGGTTAGGTTGATGCAATGTTTCTTATTGTCATTTAGAGATAAAGATTTTATAAAAGGTTGCTGTTAAAACAATGGAACAATTTATTCTTAATTTCCTTATCACGGGAGTGGATGAATCGCTTAAAGTGGAAGAAAGTTCAAAATATTTCTGTTAATAATTAAACCAGAGCACCCCTTGGTGCCATTGTGTAATGTTTTGCAGTGGTTTATACCTTTGTGGCTTTTAGCAATAAATTTGTATCAAACATAGCAATAATGTCAGATGTATTTGTAAGAAAGGAGTGTTCATGACTTAACATCCGACTTACAAACTTAACCTTGTATATTATTATTATGAACTTTTCAGAAATAAAACAGAAAGTGAAATAAAACTTGAGGTAAACCATAATTCTTTGTTGGATCTGTTCACATATATAAGGTGACCATTTTTTCTCTTCAAAATTTAAAACCAGGACATTTAAAATTGTTTTGGGGTCATACTCATGGGTGTCCAAATGTAAACAATTACACAACCAACTCTTCTGTCTGTGAGGCGTTCTTTTGAAAAAAAAAATTATGGTGATAGAAGTACTCAATCTTTTGCTACATTAATCATGCTTTATTTTTTTAGTCTTTAACTATGCTGGTTATAACTCACAACTAACCAGGTCAAATATCCAAAAACCAGAACTGAACTGGTAAAAAGAGTATGAATGGCGACCTTAACCATATTACATTGTTTCATTTATAACCAATGAAATCCAAGAATAATACACTTGTAAGTTACTTGATTATGTTGAAATGTAAATATATCTTTTTGCTTATACAAGATTCTTTGAATAAAATGTTTAAAGTTAGAATGAAATAATTTTTTTTTTAAAAATTCAACATCTTGAACATCTGCACTGTGTCAGACAAGTTATGCAAGGGGAATTTAAAATGTATCCACTGTACTGTGGTTCTTTTGTTTTAAAACTGCAATTATCAGTTTACAAAATGGCTTCTTCTAATCTGTTTGTCAAATTAGTGGAAATTAAAAAAAAAACCTACAGGGCTTTCTTTCTTTTTGTTTATCTCTCCATTTCATTTTTATTTGTCTTGACATAAGATTTATTGACCTAATTTTTTAAAAAATAATTATCACACATTTTCATCAGTGAGTAATTTTTACCCTTTTAAAAAATAGTGTGCAGTATTTACCAAGTTTGAGCTTGTTTTGAAAATTCAAGAGCTTTTGGAAAAATATACAGCAAAAACAGATGAGGTCTTGAAACTGGAGCGCATCATGAGAAAAAGATCTCTTATTTTGGATCAGCTGAAAGGCATGGTGCTGCAGCAAACAGCATTAGAGAAGTGTGAAGAAAAAAGAAGTGAGAAGAAAATTCAGGATGCTGCCTGTTACAAACAAAATGTAGGTTGACTATATCATTACAAACAAAAGTAAGGTTGACTGTATTGTTACAAACAAAAGTAAGGTTGACTGTATCGTTACAAACAAAATGTAGGTTGACTGTATCATTACAAACAAAAGTAAGGTTGACTGTATCATTACAAACAAAATTAAGGTTGACTTATCATTACAAACAAAATTAAGGTTGACTTATCGTTACAAACAAAATTAAGGTTGACTGTATCATTACAAGCAAAAGTAAGGTTGACTGTATCGTTACAAACAAAAGTAAGGTTGACTGTATCATTACAAACAAAAGTAAAGTTGACTGTATCGTTACAAACAAAAGTAAGGTTGACTGTAACATTACAAACAAAATGTAAGGTTGACTATAACATTAAAAAAAAAAAGTAAGGTTCACTGTATCATTACAAACATATAAAGTTGAGTTTATCATTACAAACAAAAGCAAGATGACTGCATTATTACAAACAATAGATAGGTTGACTGTATCATTACCAACAAAAGGTAGATTTGCTGTGTCATGTCTTGACTACTTAAATCTTCTTCAACTTTTCAAGTAAACTCTGCTGATAATAAATTACTTTTGAAATTCTATTCAGGTGGAACAGATCAAGAAAAGTCCGCCAAAGTTAAGAAAAGTCAAAAAGGTCATCAATGAGCCAGCAGTGATACAGCCTCAGGAAAAGATAACTCAGGCAGCCAATATTCCACATCTGACTACTGAAGCATTAGATGGAGCGAGCCATGTTGCCAATTTCCCCCATAAACATGGGAAATCAGATATCCCTAAGAAAGACCCGGCCCCCAAACATGTAAATGAACCAATTCACTTGACCTACTCATCGTACAATGAGTCAACTGATTCCAAGAAAAATTCACAGAAACCAGTCTCCCAGTCAAGCAGGTATTCTCTCAAGGAACTGAACCAAGAGCTTCCACCCCAGCCAACACACAAGTCTAAATTCTTGCAGATGGAAGAGGCCAATATGCTGCATTTGTCTCATAAAGAGCAAATAAGATCTGATAAAAAACTCAGAGATCAAGTCAATGAAACAATGCTGAATGGAACTGGGTCTCGGATGGCACAAACCAAGGGGCATACCTACTGTTCAAAAATTGTTGAGCAAGACACTCTCAAATTTTCAAACAACTCAAGTGAATTAATGGAGAAAAAGAGGTAAAATTCTCATTAACAATTTTTAAAAATTTTTAATAAGTTTGTTTTGACATTGGATATCAGGGTTTAGTTGAAGAATTAAACAACCCCTTAATGTTAGTTTTGACATTGGATATCAGGGTTTAGTTGAAGAGTTAAACAACCCCTTAATGTTAGTTTTGACATTGGAGATCAGGGTTTAGTTGAAGAGTTAAACAACCCCTTAATGTTAGTTTTGACATTGGAGATCAGGGTTTATTGGAAAAGTTAAACAACCCCTAAATGTTAGTTTTGACATTGGAGATCAGGGTTTATTGGAAGAGTTAAACAACCCCTTAATGTTAGTTTTGACATTGGATATCAGGGTTTAGTTGAAGAGTTAAACAACCCCTTAATGTTAGTTTTGACATTGGAGATCAGGGTTTATTGGAAAAGTTAAACAACGCCTTAATGTTAGTTTTGACATTGGAGATCAGGGTTTATTGGAAAAGTTAAACAACCCCTTAATGTTAGTTTTGACATTGGAGATCAGGGTTTAGTTGAAGAGTTAAACAACGCCTTAATGTTAGTTTTGACATTGGAGATCAGGGTTTATTGGAAGAGTTAAACAACCCCTAAATGTTAGTTTTGACATTGGATATCAGGGTTTTGTTGAAGAGTTAAACAACCCCTTAATGTTAGTTTTGACATTGGATATCAGGGTTTAGTTGAAGAGTTAAACAACCCCTTAATGTTAGTTTTGACATTGGAGATCAGGGTTTAGTTGAAGAGTTAAACAACCCCTTAATGTTAGTTTTGACATTGGAGATCAGGGTTTATTGGAAAAGTTAAACAACCCCTAAATGTTAGTTTTGACATTGGAGATCAGGGTTTATTGGAAGAGTTAAACAACCCCTTAATGTTAGTTTTGACATTGGATATCAGGGTTTAGTTGAAGAGTTAAACAACCCCTTAATGTTAGTTTTGACATTGGAGATCAGGGTTTATTGGAAAAGTTAAACAACGCCTTAATGTTAGTTTTGACATTGGAGATCAGGGTTTATTGGAAAAGTTAAACAACCCCTTAATGTTAGTTTTGACATTGGAGATCAGGGTTTAGTTGAAGAGTTAAACAACGCCTTAATGTTAGTTTTGACATTGGAGATCAGGGTTTATTGGAAGAGTTAAACAACCCCTAAATGTTAGTTTTGACATTGGAGATCAGGGTTTTGTTGAAGAGTTAAACAACCCCTTAATGTTAGTTTTGACATTGGAGATCAGGGTTTAGTTGAAAAGTTAAACAACGCGTTAATGTTAGTTTTGACATTGGAGATCAGGGTTTATTGGAAAAGTTAAACAACCCCTAAATGTTAGTTTTGACATTGGAGATCAGGGTTTATTGGAAAAGTTAAACAACCCCTAAATGTTAGTTTTGACATTGGAGATCAGGGTTTTGTTGAAGAGTTAAACAACCCCTAAATGTTAGTTTTGACATTGGAGATCAGGGTTTAGTTGAAAAGTTAAACAACACCTTAATGTTAGTTTTGACATTGGAGATCAGGGTTTATTGGAAGAGTTAAACAACCCCTAAATGTTAGTTTTGACATTGGAGATCAGGGTTTAGTTGAAAAGTTAAACAACGCGTTAATGTTAGTTTTGACATTGGAGATCAGGGTTTAGTTGAAAAGTTAAACAACGCGTTAATGTTAGTTTTGACATTGGAGATCAGGGTTTATTGGAAAAGTTAAACAACCCCTAAATGTTAGTTTTGACATTGGAGATCAGGGTTTATTGGAAAAGTTAAACAACCCCTAAATGTTAGTTTTGACATTGGAGATCAGGGTTTTGTTGAAGAGTTAAACAACCCCTAAATGTTAGTTTTGACATTGGAGATTAGGGTTTAGTTGAAAAGTTAAACAACCCCTAAATGTTAGTTTTGACATTGGAGATCAGGGTTTTGTTGAAGAGTTAAACAACCCCTAAATGTTAGTTTTGACATTGGAGATCAGGGTTTAGTTGAAAAGTTAAACAACGCGTTAATGTTAGTTTTGACATTGGAGATCAGGGTTTAGTTGAAAAGTTAAACAACGCGTTAATGTTAGTTTTGACATTGGAGATCAGGGTTTAGTTGAAAAGTTAAACAACCCCTAAAAAATGTTGTTATTATTTTATTGTTGTTCGTCCGTCAAAGTCGACTAGGACCATCGAGTCATCCGGTTAGGGGGAAGTTGGGATTACGGTGAGCTCGTAGGTGGCTTACTAGACCGATCCTTGCTCGGAATAATCTATGACACCGTGGGCATGGAATAGTTGCTTCAGATGGTGACCTAATGTTGCTCTTTCGGACAAGCCTGCGTTTCTCAGCTGTGGTTATTCTATTAGCTTCATGGGATTTAGCCCCCTTCTTGACAGCAGCTCTCCACCTGGCTCTGTCCTGGGCTGTCTGCACCCATTGAGTAGGGTTTATGCTGAAGGCCTTTAGTGCCACTTTCAGTGAGTATAGTTGGATGACTGATGACTTGCGCGGGTGACTTTGTTTAAAGTGAGGAAGAGTTGTGCAGTGTCAACCTCACTCTCATTCTAATGTCCCACCTGCTTTTACACCTCAGATTTATTTCATTAACTGTTTCAGAAAAATGAAAGAAAATACAACGCACCTAAAGCACTTGAGATATTTTTGCAAATCTCTTTTAGCACAGCTATAGGGAATTTTATTTCGTGAAACCAGCCTCATCAAATTTCCTTCTTCTTCTCCTGAAAAACAGGAAAAATGGATTTTTGGGGGTGGGGCTGAAAATTTGATAGATTGTGTTTTCAACGGCTGTGAGTCTATTTTGCAAAGTTTCAGCTAGACTGGTTGACGGGGAGTAGGTCAATTAACTGTGCAACGATTTTGGCATTCAACCAACCAGAAAGAAAAACATAAACAAAAGCGAAGTTAATATAAAGGATTTAAAAATTCTTTCACTTACTTTTTGACATTAGGTTACAAACTATTAATGATTTATTTCTCATAATTTTTATTATTTTTTTTAAAAATGTGTCTGGTTCACAGTTACTGATTTTACTAACAAAGCAAATATAAGTGCAATGTTAAGTAAGTTGTTACTGAAAGAAAGAGAAAATTATACTAAAAGAGATAGTGAATGCCTCATATGTAGGGTCTACATGTTACCAGATTTAATTTCTCAAGGAAGTTAGCTACAGACTTATTTATTAGTGTTGTCTCCCTGGGTTTAATACATAATCTTAACTTTCAGCTAAGCTAAAACTATCATTTAATGGTAGCTATACTATAGTATATAATATCTATTTCTCTAAATGATTTTGAGAAGAGAAACAAAACCAAAGGAAATTAAAATTATCAGGTAAATAGTTCTTCATGCAATAGCTGTTTTACCAGAATCCGAACCATCATAACAGCTCTGGTTTACTTCTTTACCTTTCAGCAGCCAAGTCAGCACCGACAAACTTTGGGATAACGTTGGAGTGTTTGTCATTGTACCCAGCAGTCGAAAGAGGTCCAGTTCAAGGAAAAATGCTCCAAATGAGAAAAGTGAAAGAACTCATTCTCCTCCTGGATTTAAGTGAGATTTCTTCCCTGCAAAAATTTTCAGGGGGGAAAAAAACTGCATGTTAACAATATCATAAATTATTTTTGTGATGGTTTGTCACCAACTAAATAAGTTTAACTTAACACAAGTTAGAGTTTCATAAAAATGAATTTTTTAAATGTACATCCTGTCATAAAAAGTATGAATAAAATTTTGTTTGCTTTGAAAAGAATTTAGTGTTTTAAGTAACAAGACCTTTTTGCTGTGTGAGTTAAGGCAAAAAAAAAAAAATTAACACATACATCTTTCTAAACCATCAATTGTTTATGTGTTGGAAGATACAACAAATAATAAAAAAGAGCTTATTTGAGTATAATTCTATAGTGTAGATTATGATTAAAATGTTTTATTTATAATTGTTGCTCTTAGTATCCAGTTTTATTTACAATTGTTAGTGCTACAAACAGTTTTATTTTCCATTGTTACACTTATACCATTTTATTTTCCATTGTTACACTTATACCATTTTATTTTCCATTGTTACACTTATCATACAGTTTTATTTTCCATTGTTACACTTATACCATTTTGTTTTCCATTGTTACACTTATACCATTTTATTTTCCATTGTTACACTTATACCATTTTATTTTCCATTGTTACACTTATACCATTTTATTTTCCATTGTTACACTTATCATACAGTTTTATTTTCCATTGTTACACTTATCATACAGTTTTATTTTCCATTGTTACACTTATACCATTTTGTTTTCCATTGTTACACTTATACCATTTTATTTTCCATTGTTACACTTATACCATTTTATTTTCCATTGTTACACTTATACCATTTTATTTTCCATTGTTACACTTATCATACAGTTTTATTTTCCATTGTTACACTTATACCATTTTATTTTCCATTGTTACACTTATCATACAGTTTTATTTTCCATTGTTACACTCATACCATTTTATTTTCCATTGTTACACTTATCATACAGTTTTATTTTCAATTGTTATACTTATCATAGTTATATTTTCCATTGTTACACCTATCACACAGTTTTATTTTCCATTGTTACAGTTATCATACAGTTTTATTTTCCATTGTTACAGTTATCATACAGTTTTATTTTACATGTGTTACACTTATCATACAGTTTTATTTTACATGTGTTACACTTATCATGAAGTAAGGCTTTGATTCTGATCTTCGCCTGTTGATTGGTTTCTGCTTTAAAAGCTTTCATAGAACTTGGCTATGCTTGTGTGCTATTCATTCTCAGATCAACAATGTGTGTGTTTAACTGTCTCATCCTATGCGGTTAAACTGTCTCATCCTGTGTTTGTTAAACTGTCTCATCCTGTGTGTGTTACACTGTCTCATCCTGTGTGTGTTAAACTGTCTCATCCTGTGTGTGTTAAACTGTCTCATACTGTGTGTGTTAATCTGTCTCATCCTGTGTGTGTTAAACTGTCTCATCTTGTGTGTGTTACACTGTCTCATCCTGTGTGTGTTAAACTATCTCATCCTGTGTGTGTTAAACTGTCTCATCCTGTGCGTGTTAAACTGTCTCATCCTGTGTGTGTGTTAAACTGTCTCATCCTGTGCGTGTTTAACTATCTCATCCTGTGTGTGTTAAACTGTCTCATCCTGTGAGTGTTAAACTGTTTCATCCAGTGTGTTAAACTGTCTCATCCTGTGTGTGTTAAACTGTCTCATCCTGTGTGTGTTTTAAACTGTCCCATCATGTGCATGTTAAACTGTCCCATCATGTGCATGTTAAACTGTCTCATCTTGCTAACCAACTCTAGAGCAGAAATTTGGTACACATGTTTGAAAAATAGGGGCAATGCACAATGAATAAAATAATTTTGATGACCAGTCTTCGTTGAGTTGAAGGTCCGACACCCATCTTCAATTATTCTTTTTTCTGTGCACTCATTTATGTTTCAATATTTTTTCTTAATATTTTAATGTGGCATCGTAGACCACGCTCTTAGAAGAAAACAACAGAGCTTTCACCACCCAAAACACTGTTGTGGACTTTGACCTTGGGTTTAGGTCAGCGGTTCTCAACCTGTGGGTCACGACCCCTTTGGGGGGTCGCACGAACCTTTCCCAGGGGTCGCCTAAGACCATCTGAAAACACATATAGTCTACAAATATAAAGTATCAACGAAAATAATTTTTTGTTTGGGGTCGCCACAACATGAGGTCCCCAACCCCTTCTATTTAAAATATTGCTAGAAAATTCACGACATGTTTTGTTGAAAATTAAGCAGTGGTAGCATTTTCCCTAAAATCATTGGCATCATATTTCTTTTGGGAGGGGGGGGGGAGGGGGGGCTGAAAATTTGATAGAATGTATTGTAATCGGTAACGAGTCCATGTGCAAAATTTCATTTCGATAAGTTGACGGGAAGTGTGTCAATTAGCCTTCCAAAGATTTTGCCACACACCCAGAAAGAAAGAAACACAAGAACAAAAGTGAAGTTAACATTAAGGATTTTAAATATACGAAGGATTATGCACCCCAGTGGCCTAGGAAGAGGAAGGTTTCAGCCCCGGGTGGCTTTTTTCTCATTATATGAAGGGTGGCAATTTAGGCCACCTGAGCATTTGTTTCGTGGAAGGGGCGGCAAAAACTTTGGCCCGCCCCTGGTGGAGTTAACCCTAGCTACGCCACCAATGCATTTTTCTTTATGTTGAAGTGGGGCTTTTTCGGCCAATTACAGATTTTTGTTGGTGGAAGAGGAGTTGCAAAAATCTTGACCCACCCCGTGTGACACTAACCCTATCACGCCAGTGGGGGTTGGGGGGGGGGGCTGATAATTGTGTACCGGAACACCAATTGAGAGCAAAGAATTGGGTTGGCGCATTCTGGAGAGGGCCTAGCGAGAATAGGCCTGCAAGCATGAACAAAAAGTCCGATAGTAATGGCAACTTTGTTACACTGTATGATAAACTTATCGTCAGCCCTCTAAGTTATGGTCAAATGACAATGAGTTGAACACGACGCCAATTAACATGCCATTAAAACTGTAGGAAAAACTTAATCTATTTGGTAAGGCTAGTCAATAATAGAATTTTTTCACTTCTATTTTATTGTCCTGTTCATTTTATGAGAGGGAGAGAAGGGGGGAAAAAAGAATAGTTACGAGAGAGAGGAGCTACAGATAGATGGAGAGATAGATGATAGATAGATACATACATACATGCATATATATATATAAATATATATATATATATAGAGAGAGAGAGAGAGAGAAAAGAGGTAACGAGACTCGAACATTAGAGAATATAGAGGTCTACGTTTACTACTGTTCCTGGAGGGCCAATCAAGTTGTTGCTCCAATCCATACGAAAAAGAAAATATCATAATCTGCAGAGGCGACAACGCACGACACATTTGCGTCTATTGCCTCATGCCTTCCAACCCCACAGTTCATGATACCCTCGCTGTGTAGTCCTTGCAACCAGTGAAATATCCTCTTTGAGTCTTCAACACCAGGCACAGAAACATTGCAGATTCCTCTACATACATAGGAGCCAGAATGGTCAATACATTGACCGTGGGCCCTTACGATATAGAAGGAGAGGACATTCCGCCCTCTCCTTAAAGTACCGCATGGTGTTGCCCCCCCCTCCTCCCGGCGCCCACCTTCTTATGCCAGGAGAGGGAGTTTATTTGTGATTTGTGCAAGACTTACAGTCGTTCTGCACCAGTGGCGCCAACTCAGTCAACGAGGCCAAGTCGGTCTGCAGGTTTGAACTGGATCAAGTTTCAGCCACGGTTCCAGCAAATGAAGGCGATTTGACCAATCAGGGATCGATAGCAAGACGTCAGGCTGACCGGTTCTTAACTGTGAAGCTCTGGTGGTGTGGTGGTGGTTGCGGGGGGGGGGGGGGGGGGGGGGGGGGGGGGGGGGGGGGGGGGGGTGGGCTTTGTCGGCTAAAAGATAAGAGGTGTTGTGCTACTTACTTAGGAACCAAGAGTACATGCAGTCATGGAACTAGTCTTGTCTACTTCATGGATCACTTAGTGGTAGCGAAGCCTTGACAAGCTCGATTAATTGGATTGATTTATTCGCTTTGTAGTCAATTTATCTAAATCGGTTCTTCGATTTCTGCTGCATTGCACCACCCTACTACAACCGTGAGTACGATTACAAAAGAAGAAAAAAACGATTCTCGGTGTATACAATATAATAAATAATGAACCACTAAAATGTCAGTCTTTAGGTGAAAGCAGCTGCAAATATCAAAGTCATGACACATAATGGGATTTAATATTCTATAGATGTGGCATACTGTTCTATAGTATAATTTTTCATAGATAAGGTAAAATTTTCTATAGGTGGGGATAATGTTCTATGGATAGATACACTGTTCTAAAATGTGAAATAATGTGTTATAGAGGGAGTATAATCTTCTAAAGATGGGGTATAATGTTCTTTAGATGTGGTATAATTTTCTTTAGATAGTGTATAGTGTTCTATAGATGGAGTATAATGTTCCCTAGATATGGTAAAATAATCTATAGAGTATCATGTTCTTTAGATGGTGTATACTGTTCTATAGATGTGGTAGGCCTATAATGTTCTATAGATGTTGTATACTGTTCTATATAAATGTGGTATAATTTTCTTTTTATGTGTTCTGACCGAGGCATTGATTGCGTTTGAAAACATAAACGACGTAATTCGTCTGGGGGCAGCTGATCTAGATTTTAGTCTAGTTTACGTAGAATTTAGTCTAGATTATCAATAATTTAGTTTAGTTTATCTAGAATTTAGTCTAATTTATCTAGAATTTAGTCTAGTTTATTATCAATAATTTAGTTTATCAAGAAGTTAGTCTAGTTTATCAAGAATTTAGTCTAATTTATCTAGAATTTAGTCTAGTTTATTATCAATATTTTAGTTTATCAAGAAGTTAGTCTAGTTTATCAAGAATTTAGTTTAGTTTATCTAGAATTTATACTAGTTTATTATCAATAATTAAGTATAGTTTATCAAGAAGTTAGTCTAGTTAACAAAAAATTAGTCTAGTCTATCTAGAATTTTGTCTCGTTTATCAAGAAATAAGTCTAGTTTATCTAGACTTTAGTCTAGTTTAATAATATATTTTGGCGTCGTGTTCAACTCATTGCCATTAGACCCTAACTTAGAGAGCTGACGATTATTAATATATATTTCCCAAAAAATATGTTTTCATATTTTTAAAAGTATCCCCCCACCCCCAAACCTACACCCGCCAGTGACTATTGATTGACCCCATTCCTCCTTGTTCTGTCCCCAAAGTGCAGATCATTGAATGACCCGTGGCCGTGACACGTTAACCAGGTGCAGTTCCACGTGAACACCGCATTGAATGGAACCAGCGTCAGGCAGAGGGCGAGGCCTTCCAACACCGAAAGCCACCAGGTTAGTTTGTACGGATTTTAAGTGGAGTCTGTGTTGCCGATGTTTTTAATTTTTGTGATTATTTTGTTTAAGCCACATTTACACAAGACGGCGTGCACTGTGACGACTGGTTGTCAAGGCTTTTACACACAATCATCCGGCAATATGTCCACTTGACGGAAACGTTAATCTAGCTCTCAGGTCGCGGGCCGCATGAAATGTCGTGCTAGCAGTTGCCATTTCCGTGCTGGAAGGGAAAATGAATCGGCCGGCCTTGCCAGTCACTGGCGTCGGAAGTGGAAAGGGTGGGGGAGGGGACCGGTGGAGAGACTTTTCTAGTCACGGGGCGACAGTTCAAACCTAAGTGAGAAAAGTGAATGATCTCCTAACGTTACATTCATTCCGCGCTGTCATTGTGGGGCAATAGGTGACCAGCGAGATGGTCACTGACCTTGCAGCTCATCGAACACAACAATCACACAAAACATAGAAACACAAGCCCCACATTATGGTGTATGATGTCAACCGAAAGAGTCCCCCAAAAAGTTACGCCCGGTGCTGTCCGCCCTCTCCTTCCACCTCTTCTTCCTCCACCCCCCCCCCATTCCTTCGCCCTCTCTTCCTTTACCACTGCGTGTTGACCTACTTAAGTGACGTAAGTGTTTAGTACAACTTATTACGTCAAATGAAATCGATACATTAAACCCACTGAGACGATATTTGTTTATTCAAAGGGATCGATTTCAGGTTTGCGTAGAATGGCCAATCTGTACTGTCCGCCATGCCAATAAAGGCCCGATGTTACGCCCTTGATCTATGCCACTTTCACCTCTTATGATTCCTCATATTATCTCAGCTCATACATCTCAAGCTGTGCACCACTAGACAGTGTCATAAGTCGTTCCATATTTTTTTGAATCTATTGACGCACCACAGAGATATGTTTTATCCCTTCGCCTATTAAAATGCACTGTGTGTGTTTGTTTGTGTGTGTGTGTGGTTGTGTGAGTGTGTGTCTGTCTGCCTGTGTGTGAGTCGGAGTTATTTTTCTTTTTTTTTATACATCATTTTTATAATTAAAAAAATCATAATTTAACGATTTGCTTATGATTTGCCAATTTGGAGTGTTTGCCAAACAGCCAACGGTTGCCAGGTGGTATTTCAGAGGGCGGAGGAAATGGGGTTATAAATAATACCAACAGAGGAGACATGTCATGTGCCTTAAAGATATGATATAAATGTGATATGTTTGTTTAAAAAAATATTACCCATCACCATTTTCGTCATATACGTAATAAGTCACACATTTATTTTACAAGTTCTACATTTCTCTTTGAAATGCAATAAATTATTCTCTAATTCTAAAATGCACTGTCACTCTGGTAAAGGGGTGCGATAATGCTTAGGGTTCGGATTACAGGAAAGGTTGCGAAACAATAAAAGTCATCAGGAATGGACAGTGGCGTAAAAAGGGGGGGGGGGGGGGGCAGAATGGTGGTCCACCCCAGGCGGAAATTTTGGGCCAACTGCAGAGGTTTTTTTTCGTGGAGGGGGCGGTAAAAAGCTTTGCCCTGCCCCGGGGCTGCATTCGACCTAAGCTCGCCACTGACTCGCCACTGACTCATAATAACTCTACATGAACCGACTGATTGAATGTATCTGTCGCACTCAGACTCTTTTTAGCACTTAGCAGCCGTCACCAGCTGCCTGCGACATCTGGCGGGTGCATGCTGCTGGTGGACTCCCCACAGACCCAAGGGGTTCATTAGCGATGTAAATAAGACGCCACAGCAAAACGTCCTTGGAATGTGTTCACTTTACGTTTAAGAGCGTGATCAGCCCAGCGTTTCTCTATCTATCATGGCAGGGTGACACGCATCTCTACGTCACCCTTGAAAATAAAGCGTACAATTGCAGCGAATTAGTGGCGATACTAAGCTGTTGAACGTGAACATGGCGAATGTTGACCAAGTGGAACTAGAACCGTGAGTGACACATTTGAGTGTTAATAATCTAATTAGAAGGCTTGCTCTGTCAAGTTAATTGCGCGGACATCGATATTGTAATTTCATTTCAATTACTACAGTTGGAAGTAGGCACGCTTCTCGTGAATATAATTTTCAAAAGCCGGCGATTGGTGTTGGGGATCGAGATAACCGAGGTTAAGTGGCAAATTTGGCGCCTTTTGTGCTCGAGATAACTGGGTTCGGCGACATAAAAGAATCGACATAACCGAGGAGAAAATGCTAAGACAAAGTGAGAATTTGGAGGTTCCCTTAAAAAAATGTCGACACAAAAGGGTTGGCGAGATAACAGATGTCGCGATAAGCGGGTTCGACGGTACTTATGTTACAGATATGTTAATATTTAACAATTTATTTTGAAAATAATGTAAGTGAATTTAAAATCAAAATAAACTATGCATAAATAATATGGACGTTATTGAAAAGAACCTGCCGGAATCGGGAAGAAAAATCGTATATCAACATTATTTTAAAAAAAAAATAAAAAATACGAACTTCAAAGGCTGAGTGCACTATGATATTAAAAAAAACAAAAACAAAAAACAAAAAAAACAACCACATTTTCAGTGGAATGCTGAGGAGCACGTGTAAAAAGGGGCGGGACATTAGAATATTAATGTAGTACTGGGGCGTGGGGAAAAGTGTGCGGTAAAATACCTGTAGAATTGTTGAGCACTAATTGGGATTCTTATGACGTGCGTTAATTGACGTGCGTGTTTTGTCCATTCAATTGAGGAGATGGGAAGTTCAGGATTTGCCGCCGCCATTATTTTGCGTCGCTCTATTTAAAACTGTTTATTTTTTATTTTTAATTGATATAAAAAATGGTCTTATATAATATTATTTTAAAATCTATGTCCTTCATTTTCTGATTCTATATTTCGTTATGACGTTTAGTTATATAGATCACAACGTTTCCTCATAAAAAAATAATAATAATAATTGAAGAAAAAAATAAACTCGATAAAAAAACATTGGGAAACGTACTTCCCAATGCAATTTTAAAATAAATCAATGACCAAAAGATCTTATAATATTCATTTACAATATGGACAGTTCAATGCCCCTAAATACGTAGGGTCCCAAAAAGCGCGAGGGAAGCCCTGGGTACCTGCCCAGTGCTCATGCCTTAAGACGGTATTGATATGATCGACGGATACAATGTCTTAAAAGACAGGGCTGTTCGGACGTGTTTTTGTTCAAGAGTGCCTACTTGGGAAATTATGTATGTGATGATGAAGCTATGTAAATGAACTAAGCTTTTACCTATTATAATTTAATTCCCGAGTGGCTCTAGTCCACCCCCAGGGGAGTTAATGACTGAAACATTTGTAACAGTAGTTAAACTTTATAAAATCCCTTGAAATGTGGCATTAAAATGTATTTGTTTATTTATTTAGTAGTTCAGGAGCCTTACAAGCGATTTGTGGTTGCTCTATATAACGTACGTAGGGGTTTTTAGGTTGCTCTGACTGGTACTGACTCACTGTATTCATTTAGTCCACATCAGCACTAAAGAGATTCAAGAAAATATGGAACGACAAAAATATAGCCCCCAGCACCAAAATGAGGCTGATGCGCTCATTAGTCCTCTTCATGCCTGCGAGTCCTGGACGTTTAACAGAAGAATTTGAAAGGAAAATAAAGGCGATGATGATGAGATGTTTTCAGAGGCATTCTTAGCATCTGCTATATAGAGACCATATCTCCAATGATCAAGTGAAAGAAAGGATTCGTCAGGCCATTGGGCAGCACGATGACCTCCTGGTGACTGTAAAAAAGCAAAAAAAAGCAAACTAGAATAGTATGGTCACGTGACAAGGAAACAAGGACTCGCCAAAGAAATCAAGCAGGGCACAACGAGAGGAGGGATAAGTAGAGGAAGACAGAGAAAAAGATGGGAAGATAACACCAAAGAGTGGACGGGACTAACACTAGGCGATGCTGTGCGAAGTGCAGAAGACAGAGACGAATGGAAGGTGACAGTTGACATGTCATCTGTGGCGCCCCAACGTTCCAAGGTTTAAGGGACATGATGATGATGATTCATTTCGTACGCTCATTGGCGACTTACCAGCGATCGAAAACAGATCATATACAGAGACACCACAACTAAGCATTATTGGATAGGTGGAGGGCCCTCTTAAATTATTATTACATCTTATGCGCCTCTGCCCGTATTTTACACGCGCTATGTGGTTGGGTTGCCACACCTAGTTACTTATTCCCTTAAAGTAGGCATCGACTAATGAGCTAACACGACTGAATTGTGGAAACTCACTATATTTTTTAACAATTAAATTACACTGAAACATTTATGATTAAATATATACTTTAAAATATTGTTTCATTGTTTTATTATTGCTGAAATGGTTAGTTATAAAATGTAACAAAACCCACACAACCTTAATTTTGTTCTGTGTTTTAATGAGTTTATTATTTTTATTAAAAAAACTTTGAACTTAAAAAAGGTTTAATTAGAAATTTTTAATTTAGGAAAATTTTTATTTTAATTTTTTTTCGTGTTGCTATTGCAATCAATACATGAGATACATAAATAATGCATTTTCCCTTTTTTTCTTTAAATTTATTTAAAAAAAATATTTGTATTTTGAATTGAGGTGGGTGGCAGAAATATATCAATAATGGATCGAAGTATGTTTAGGATATTTAAAAAGGCTTAATAGTTAAAGGGACGTTTCAGCTAAACGCCTTCGTCAGCAGACGATACTAGACAAGGAAAACAAATAACTCTAAATTGAAAAATTTAGCTTTTTCAGTCACTGCAAAAATTTCAGAGCACAGTAGGAAAAGTTGTTCATTTAAGGTGTGTAAGTTGTTTCCCCTGTATTTGATAGTGCAGAAAAAAATAAAATATTGACCGGCCTATAGAGCTTTGTACTTGTAGAAGATGTCTCTGATGATTTGTAAGGGTATTTGCACAGTTGATGTGAGACCAGATCAGCGTTTCCCAAATTTTGACACGATGTAACACATCTAAAAAAAGATGTAACCCAAGTGGAAGATATTTAAAAAAAAATTGAGGTCGCCATGTTGACGCAAAGAAGACTAGATGTCAATGTCACGGCCTGAAGGGTCATCGTTGTAGGATAAAACGTTAAGTTTGTGAAATATATCTCTATTGCAATAAATGAATGTATGGCAAAACAATAATAGTGGTTAACAAAAGTATACTGTGTAACAACAACTCTCCCCCCCCTCCCCCCAATTCCTATCTCAGAGACCAATCTGTCCCCCATTCCCGACCCAACCAATAATTTTCAAATTAGAAAAGCCCCCCCCCCTTTCCTCCCCACTCTCCCCAACTATTTAGTCCTCAAATTATACGCAATGCTACACAATGTTTACTTCAGTGAAAAGATTCGTGATGCGCCAAAGTATAAATCTTCCCAGCGGATAGTTTGCTTGATATTAGTTGATGGAATGTTCTGTTTCTTCTGATAACATTAATTTAACTCTAAACTATAATTCATTCGAATTTAATTTTTTTTAAAAAAAGATTAATCATTCTTAAAAGTTTTTCTGGAGAGCTTAACCTCTACAGCGCCCCCCCCAGCCCCCCCCCCCACTATTTTAAAAATGTACAGAATGATATTTTGCATGATCCTCAATAGAGGATACAATTAATACAATTAAATGCCAAAGCTGTTACATATTGTAGAATATTTAATTTAAATCTGAATGAGCCATTTTGATTTTAGTGATTCAGAAATTAAAATCAATTTAAAACACGAACAAATGAATCGGTGTTCTTTCAATAGCCTTAGGTAAAAGTTAAAAAAAACATTTCATCATGTTTATATATCATTCGTTCAATTTAAAATACAATTAATTTACAGTTAGTGTCTTCCTTTACAGAACAGAACACCCTCGGAGTTCGCTGTGTCCATGTCCAACATATACAGCGTACTGGACGCCCCCGCCATCTTGGCCTAGGCACCTCTTGTGCGAAAGCAAGCTTCTGCCCTGCAGCTTCAGCCAGCTATGTTGGTTAGGAATAGCCGGGGTCGCATTCATCTACTTCTTCATCATGGACATCGTCCTGTTCACCCGCTTCCGAGACACCGATTTGGCGAAAGAGTTCGGCTTTGTAACACCGGGCGAAATCTACTTACCCTTCACACGTCTGTCCGTCAAAAGTATCCTGAACGACCACCCCAGCCAGTTCATCATTGCGCCCAGCACCGAGTACTTCGACATGCTGACCCACTTCAGTTCCGTATTTTACTTCATCACCCCGAACATGATCTCTCTCGCCCATCTTGTTTGCGGATTCATCGCCGGGAAGTTCCTCGCGTCCGACCATCTTCAAGACAGAAGGATAGGGGTTGTTCTGTTCGAGCTCCGAACTTGGCTGGACGCCTTCGACGGCACGGTGCACCGGGCGCAGGCGGGACTGCGCCTGCACTACAACTCCACCCACTCGACCCTGGGCTACTTGGTCGATTCCGTTTTCGATACCCTCGGCGGATGCTTCCTGTCGTTCGGCATGTTTTTTTATCTGATGAAGAGGTTCGGCCCGAGCAGAGTTCCACTTCCGGTCAGGTCGAATGTCAAGGACGCAAAGGACGGCCCCACGCCAGAAATTTCACAAACGAGGGATGACGCGTACAGCGTGCGATATTTATTTCTGAAGGTGTTAAGTTTTGGCGTGTGCCTGGGGGTGGCTGCAAAAGGCTGGGACCAGGCCGTTGAGGATTTTACCCATGTCTTCCAGGTTCCGTTAAAGGATCCAGAACTTTCGGTGAGTGTAATAAAAGAATTTGTATGTAAGCAAAAATCACTAGTGTTTATTACCTGCTTGACCTAAAGGGCAGGCCATTTTTTTTCCCAGATTAAATTTAACTGAGAGATCTAAAAAATCCCCCAGCTGTTAGGCCTACCAGTCAGTGGCGTTGGAAGTGAAAGCAGAGGGGCGGTCAGCCCCAGGCGCCACTATTTTTTATTTATATTGAGGGGCTGCATTTTCGGCCAAATGCAATGTCTTTTTTTTCCCGTGTAAACGGGCGGCAAAAAGTTTGGCACTCCCCGGATGGTACTAAGCATAGCTACGCCACTGGTACCATTACATAATACATGAGTTCTAGTGTAATTTAAAAAAAAATTTTTATCCAATGAACAACAGTTTGTTAATTCTTATGATGATCTTCCAGATGCTACAATACACTTATTGTCACTCGTATACGACCATCACCATTTTCTACTTGTGGAGAATATTTGGAAGCCAGTCCATTTTTAACTACATTCTCCTCGCCTTTTACATGGACAAAATATGGGTAAGTCAGGGGTTAAATAAAATTGTAGACAAATGGTCAACTTGGGGCTTAGTCAAGGGTTAAAGTTGTTCGAAAACATAGGGAAAAAGTCTGGGTTATTCAAGGGATAAAGTTATTGTAAACATAAGGACAAAGTCTGGGTTAGTCAAGGGTTAAAGTTGTTGGTAAACATATGGACATGCTCTGGGTTAGTCAGGAGTTCAAGTGATTGGTCAACATTGGTACAAAGTTATTATAAACAAAGGGACAACGTCTGGGTTAGTAAGGGGTTAAAATTATTATAAACAAAGGGACAAAGTCTGAGCTAGTAAGGGGTTAAAATTATTGTAAACAAAGGGACAAAGTCTGGGTTAGTCAGGAGTTAAAGTTATTTTAACAAAGGACATAATCTTGGCTAGTCAGGGGTTAAATTTGTTGGTAAACAAAATGAAAAAAGTCTGGGCTAGTCAAGGGTTAAATTTTTTGTAAACAAAAGGACAAAGTCTTGGCTAGTCAAGGGTTAAATTTGTTGTAAACAAAAGGACAAAGTCTTGGCTAGTCAAGGGTTAAATGACTTTGACAAACGAATGTATTGACTCGTGAATTACTGTAGCTCTGAACATCTTTTAATAGAAGCCATGTCTATTTTTGGTTGGATGACGATATGTGGCTTTTGTTACATCCTTAACTTTGTTACATACATACTTTTGTTACATCTCTACATTTTACATAAACACATTTGCTACATCCCTACCTTTATTAACTACACAGTTTTGTTACATCCCTATTTTTATTAATTACACATGATTGTTAATGTTATGTAATAAAAAGTAAAGATATTTTTCTACATCCCTACCTTTGGTACATCCTTACTTTTTTATATTTTACTTGTGTTACATATCTGCTTTTGTTACATACACACTTTTGTTACATACCTTCTTTTGTTACATACATTCTTTGTTACAAACACACCTTTGTTACATCCCTACTATTGATACATACCTAAATTTTTAAAATACCTTCTTTTGCTTTACCCAAACTTTTTTACATCCCTACTTTTGTTACATATCTACTTTGATACATACCTACTTTTGTTACATACACACTTTTGTTAAATCCTACTATTGTTACATCCCTAACTTTGTTACATACCTGCTTTTGTTACACACCTACGTTAGCTTTACCCTTACTTTTTTACATACACACTTTAGTTACATACACACTTTTGTAACTTATCTATTTTTGTTACATAAACACGTTTGTTACAACCCTACTTTTGTTACATACCTACTTTTGTTACATACACTTTTGTTACATACACTTTTGTTACATACACTTTTGTTAATCCCTACCTTTGTTACATCCCTACCTTTGTTACATCCCTACTTTTTTTACATACATACTTTTTAAGCCCCTACTTTTGTTAGATCCCTACTTTTGCTACATTCCTACTTTATTTTATCCCTACTTTTTTTACATCCCTACTGTTTTACATCCCTACTTTTGTTACATCCCTACTTTTGTTACATATCTACTTTTGTTACATACACACTTTTGTTACATACCACTTTTGTTACATATCCACTTTTGTTACATATCCACTTTTGTTACATATCCACTTTTGTTACATATCCACTTTTGTTACATATCCACTTTTGTTACATATCCACTTTTGTTACATATCCACTTTTGTGGATAGTACATTTGAGTTTACACTCCCCCGTTATGTTTTACTTCGTTTCTTAAATGAAGAGTTATTTCAACAAGATATTTAATGAATCAATTGATTGGGCAATGTTGGGGATTCGTTTGGTAGAAAAGTTACAAATGACGCTGTTCGTTTTTGTTTAGGCGTCATAACTCTTGATGGTAAGCATTTTCAAAAGTTTCTAAAAAAAACAAAAAAAAAAAAAAACGTTTGTTTTGTTCAGGAATTCCTACGCTGGATGCCTTTTATCTTGCTGAGTGTTGTTGTCGTCTTGTACATCATCACAGCTGTTTACATTCATCAGGTACGTGGGAATTAAGAGGGCTGTTTCAATATGAAACATTTAAATACAGTGGAATGATGCGACCCAACATGGCGATCAATTACTAATCACATTTATTGTGGCAGAAGTGTGACTCTTGTTGACGTTAAATTAAATAGAAAACATGATCTTATGGAATAATCTGTTTTTGGCTAATATATGAACGTTAACAAAATACTGTGTTCTGCAGATTTGAAGTGATTGAATAGAAAATATAAGTCACTTAATCATATAAATTTTTTACTTCTAAATTCTGTAGATTTCAAGTGATTCCTGATACTAATAATATAAAAATGATTTTATTGAATTTAATTGTTTATATATGTATATATATTTAATGTATTCCCTAGATTCGACTTGACCTTCACCTTTGACACACCTTTGACACACAGACCCGCGCGGTATTTTATGAGTAAGAGAACGTAAAACCAAGAAACCACGACACACCAATCCTCTGACTCAAAAGTCGGCTGCTGTCACTGTCAATGAATTGAATGCACAGGCACGTAAACGTCCTACATCACAGTAGTCAAATGTTAAGATTAACTAATAATAACCTTTTAACGATGAAGCGTAGCTAAGTTACACCGCAAGACAGTTTTCTTTTCTCAACTGGATTCCACCGCGGGCCAAAGAAGTATTGAAGTCATCAACTTCTCCTGGAAACTTCTGGTCTCTCTCGCTAGTTGGACGAGTTACACAAAGCCTACACAAACTATTACGTGTGGAAACTTTCATTCGTTGTTCTTTTAGATTAAATTAGAATGGGCGTTGACTTTAATTAAGAAAATGAACAAATGTACAGGAAGTGCATGTAGACTAGCTGAAGCCATCGCCAGTAGATTAAAGAACTAAAAGAGTTCTTGCAATGATCAAATATCCGGGGCAGATGTTTCATGTGCTTGTTAGTTGTTAGCTGATGTCATAATGAACGTGTTCGCCAGTGACTATATGCCAGGACAAGCGTGTGTTTGACTGTTGGGAAAGATCATCACGCCTTACAACAATTACACGTCTAATTAATTATTTCAAACAATTTAAATAATTACATGTATTCTGTTTTAAATTACGAAACGTATAAATAATAAACCGGCTAGATTAATGAACATGTTTTGAAAATGTGGAGCAGGTGAATTGATTCTATCTCGACCATTTTTTAAGTGATATTGAAAGGCAAAGTACGTTATTCTTATTGCAAGTGTAAAGAGGTCACTTTAATATTTGCTTCATTCTCACACACGAGACGTTTGACCAAAAATAGTTTTTTTTTTCAACAGAGGTCATGCACTAACTAACCACTAACCCGTCGTTGGAAAGACTATCAATCCGAATTCTCGTGTTTTTCATACGTCCTCATAACCTGTGTAAGAAGTAGATGACATATTGCCCATAATTTCAGATGCCATTTTGGTTTTAACAAAGAGCAAGGGAAAAAAAAACCCAAAGGAAATTATTTGACAGTGTAGTTAAAAATGTCTAGCCATCTTATGACACGGTCACAACGTATTGGAAGACACGACCTTTGGACAGTGGTATTGGAAGACACGTCCTTTGGACAGTGGTATTGGAAGACACGTCCTTTGGACAGTGGTATTGGAAGACACGACCTTTGGACAGTGGTATTGGAAGACACGACCTTTGGACAGTGGTATTGGAAGACACGACCTTTGGACAGTGGTATTGGAAGACACGACCTTTGGACAGTGGTATTGGAAGACACGACCTTTGGACAGTGGTATTGGAAGACACGACCTTTGGACAGTGGTATTGGAAGACACGACCTTTGGACAGTGGTATTGGAAGACACGACCTTTGGACAGTGGTATTGGAAGACACGACCTTTGGACAGTGGTATTGGAAGACACGACCTTTGGACAGTGGTATTGGAAGACACGACCTTTGGACAGTGGTATTGGAAGACACGACCTTTGGACAGTGGTATTGGAAGACACGACCTTTGGACAGTGGTATTGGAAGACACGACCTTTGGACAGTGGTATTGGAAGACACGACCTTTGGACAGTGGTATTGGAAGACACGACCTTTGGACAGTGGTATTGGAAGACACGACCTTTGGACAGTGGTATTGGAAGACACGACCTTTGGACAGTGGTATTGGAAGACACGACCTTTGGACAGTGGTATTGGAAGACACGACCTTTGGACAGTGGTATTGGAAGACACGACCTTTGGACAGTGGTATTGGAAGACACGACCTTTGGACAGTGGTATTGGAAGACACGACCTTTGGACAGTGGTATTGGAAGACACGACCTTTGGACAGTGGTATTGGAAGACACGACCTTTGGACAGTGGTATTGGAAGACACGACCTTTGGACAGTGGTATTGGAAGACACGACCTTTGGACAGTGGTATTGGAAGACACGACCTTTGGACAGTGGTATTGGAAGACACGACCTTTGGACAGTGGTATTGGAAGAAACGACCTTTGGACAGTGGTTCATTCCCTCTTTATGTATTTCATTTGTAAAAAAAAAAGAAAAAAAAAAAAAAAGAACTTTTACTACCCAACCTTGTTTATGTCCAAAATAGATTAAGGATATAATTTTAAAAAAAACAATTCAACATTCTGTATACACAAGTGGCCGTCCCTACAGAGCCGCTGGAGACCAAATAACCCCATCATTGAAATAAATATATATTTTTTTAATCAGATTACTCTTTGTTTCCAAAGTACGTTATTCTTATTGCATGATTTCAAAATCTATCTCACCGTTATCTACACAGGTACACTTTCATCCTTACTCAACAGTCTCTTGATTTGCTTACAAAGTACACATAAAAAGGGGGTTAAAAATACCGAGTTTCTGCTCATAGGAAAACAATTCCAGATATACATACATCACACATACATTGAAAGAAAACAACTCTTGCTATGCACACATCACACACACTTTCAATTAAAACAACTCTAGATAGACTTGCATCATACATGCTTTCAATTAAACAACTCTAGTTAGACTTGCATCACACATGCTTTCAATTAAAACAACTCTATATAGACTTGCGTCACACACGCTTTCAATTAAAACAACTTTAGATAGACTTGCATCACACATGCTTTCAGTTAAAACAACTCTAGATAGACTTGCATCACACACGCTTTCAGTTAAAACAACTCTAGATAGACTTGCATCACACACGCTTTCAGTTAAAACAACTCTAGATAGACTTGCATCACACACGCTTTCAGTTAAAACAACTCTAGATAGACTTGAATCACGCACGCTTTCAATTAAAACAACTCTAGATAGACTTGCGTCACACTCGCTTTCAATTAAAACAATTCTAGATAGACTTGCATCACACACGCTTTCAGTTAAAACAACTCTAGATAGACTTGAATCACGCACGCTTTCAATTAAAACAACTCTAGATAGACTTGCGTCACACTCGCTTTCAATTAAAACAATTCTAGATAGACTTGCATCACACACGCTTTCAATTAAAACAACTCTAGATAGACTTGTGTCACACATGCAAGAAACATCATCTGCCGTTTTTGTAGTCTTTAGAGATCATGCTGTCGTCACAGACATTCGTGTCCACGTGACTGATGTTGAGCAGACCGATGGACATGGGATGGTGGTCCACCTTCTTCTTCTGTTTTTTCATCTCCTGTTTCAGCTGGTCGAGGAAGTCCTGGTCCTCACAAAGGACGACTTTAGAAATGTCTTCGTTCGGCCGCAGCTGGTGCCGCTTCAGGTGCGGGGTGGTCAGTAGTTTCAGGCGCTGCAATGCAGGAAATGGAATAAATATGTTTAAGATAGACGCAAGAAAGAAGAATAATGAAGCTTTTTTTTTTTTACATGAAAAGGTCTTTAAATCACTTCTCACCCCTTCACCCCCACCCCCCAACCTTGTTTAATACAATGATGCTAATGAGAGCTAATAACTAGCCCCGTTGTTACTGAAGACACTAAAATAAGAACATGACTGATGTATCAGATTATTACACGAACCATTTTGAGTAAAGCTAAGGTAAAATATAAATCCAATAATAAAACAGATGTACACAGAGCTCAGCCCTTGATGGCGTACAGTAAGCCAAACTGACTCGCGAACAGCCGTTAGCATCTTGGCGCCAGCCGAACTCTTCGAAATTTTTAAAATACAAACTTCCCCAGCCATTTCGGAGTCCCATTTTAACGACTCACCTTCGACTCACCTTCGACTCACCTTCGACTCACCTTCGACTCACCCTCGACTCACCTTCGACTCACCCTCGACTCACCTTCGACTCACCCTCGACTCACCTTCGACTCACCCTCGACTCACCTTCGACTCACCTTCGACTCACCCTCGACTCACCTTCGACTCACCTTCGACTCACCCTCGACTCACCCTCGACTCACCTTCGACTCACCTCCGACTCACCCTCGACTCACCTTCGACTCACCTTCGACTCACCCTCGACTCACCCTCGACTCACCTTCGACTCACCCTCGACTCACCCTCGACTCCCCTTCGACTCACCCTCGACTCACCTTCGACTCACCTTCGACTCACCTTCGACTCACCTTCGACTCACCTTCGACTCACCCTCGACTCACCTTCGACTCACCTTCGACTCACCCTCGACTCACCTTCGACTCACCTTCGAATCAGCTTCGACTCACCCTCGACTCACCTTCGACTCACCTTCGACTCACCCTCGACTCACCTTCGACTCACCTTCGTGGTCGTGGCAAGTAAAAGCTGTGCCCGGGGTAAATCCTGGCTGAAGACGCCCTTTCCCCCAGTAACTATTTATTATTACATATCTTTTGCATGAAAAGTGACGATTTTTTGCTCCCTCTGTAGCTTGCGCCCAGGGAGACGATGTCCCCTTAGCCCCCTTCATACATCCCTGCTCACCTCCATGAATGTCCCAGGAGTTGTTAACATTCCTTGGACCATGAAGATGGGAATGAGCGCCACGCTGATCAGTGCCAACAGCCAACCGATTCCTATAGCCCAGGGCGGGTATTCGTAGACAATGAACTTCCTCTTGTAGGACACCTCAGAGTAGCTGACACAGCCCAAGATGAAGATGGCCTTTTCATGAACGTATGAAATGTATTTAGTTACATACTGGGTCACAGATGGCGTTGTCAACCGAATTGCTGCATAACTTCTTATCGTTGAACAAAGACTTAAACTAGGCACATTTTATAAATTGATTTAATCTTTAAAAAATGTCAACGATAATTAAAAAATAAAAATTCTGACACATTAGTTAAATTATAGAAGCTGTCATAGTAAAATGTTAAAACCAGTCGTTTTCTATTCGAAAGCTATTTAGATTCATGTTTTTAATCAACATTGTGATAGTGTTACAGTATTAAAGAATTGGTTAACATTTAAACACAATGATATAACAAAACAAGCAAAAAAAAAAAAAAAAAAAAAAAAAAAAAAAAAATATAAAAAAAAAAAAAAAAAAAAAAAAAAAAAAAAAAAAAAAAAAAAAAAAAAAAAAAAAAAAAAAA